ATTAAGGACAGCGCAACTCTTTGATGGAGGCAGGAAAGCAGGAACACAAAGTGACAGCAGCAGCCCAAGCAAAGCCATGGACCCGGCTTGCCCTCTCTACGACTGAACTGTATAAGCCAGTCCCACAGCAGCCTAGCAGGACTCTGGCCTCTCTTGCAGAAACAGTTAAACCCGAGTCTGCTCCGCCTCCTATACAGGGGGAGAGAGAGCACTGCCGGCCCCTAAAGAGATGCCACAGAACTCCAGGCACCATGGCAGCCTCAGACCAATCAGGTTCCAAGATGGCAGCTAGGGAACTTCAGCACCGGCGATGTTGACGACGCCTGTCATCTTTCAGCAAGACATAGGCCTGTGTCCAACCTGCAGCGAATTTCCCAGCATCCTCTGGTGTCTGATGATTTTATGAATTACCATTTATCATTTTACTATATGTTGTGAGCTGCCCTGAGCCCCCTTGCAGGGTAGGACGGGATATAAATGGAATAAAATAAATAAATCCATTGCTATGTGCCAGGGACCTTTTTCCTTGATGAAGCAGCCCCCACCAGCTCAAAACTCGGCCTGTTCCCACAGAGGCCACTTCAGATGGGAGACAGCCACTCCCTCACATTTAAAAAAAAATCTTCCCCTAGGAAACCAGAAACGACTAATGATTAGGGTTAAAACAGGAAGTGCCAAAGCAAGAGTACAGCTGAACATCAAGAAGACAAAAGTCATGACTACTAGAGGAATTACACAACTTTAAGGCTGACAATGAATACATTGAAATTGTTAAAAGATCTTCTGTTCCTTGGCTTCATCATCAACCAAGAAACTGCCAACCAGAAATCTCAAGGAGACTGGGACTGGGAAGAGCAGCTGTGAAGAAGCCAGAAAAGATTCTTAAGTGTAAAAATGTGACACTGGCGACCAAGATCGAGATAATTCTGGCCATAGTCTTACGGGTGTGAAAGTTGGACAACAAAGAGAGCTGGCAGGAAGGAAGTGGATTCATTTGAAATGTGGTGCGGGAGGAGAGTTTTATGGGTGCCACGGACCGCCAAAAAGACAAACAAGTGGGTTCTAGATCAAATCATGCCTCAACTCTCCCTAGAAGCTAAAATGACTGAACTGAGGCTATTGTACGTTGCCCACATTATGAGAAGACAAGAGTCACAAGAAAGGACGATCATGCCAGGAAAAGTTGAGGGGAGCAGGAAAAGAGGAAAGAGTCCTCAGCCCGCAAGACCTGGGCGAGGCTGTTAACGACTTGTCATTCTGGAGGACATTAATTCATAGGGTCACCGTAAGTCAGAAGTGACTTGATAGTGCTTAACACACAAGCACAGAAAACTCCCATACAGGAGACTGCAAGGCTAGAATCTTTCTCGGCTAAAGCTGTTTTCTACATGGAGAAGAATTTCAGAATGGAGGCCTCAGTCACATACCACCACCCCTAGGTCTAAAACCCGTAAACACAGAAAATGAACATGGGAAGAAAGACCCAACTCTTTGCCCTGCATTGCTAAATTCCTACGTATGGGAATAATTTTTTTTTTTCCGGTATGGAGGAAAAGCTCAGCAGTCTGTTGCAGCCTGAAGTCGAAAGGTCTGCTTCTTCCCTGCTCCACGAGAACATGGCCCAAGCAAAGTGTAGCCCTAGTACCATTTGCAGACAGCATGCGCATCCCACATCTAGCATTGTGGTAAATGAGGGTGGATTCCTCAGCCCATTTCTGTAGATCTCTCTTGGGCTGCAGCATCCTCTGGTGTAGGTAAATTGAGTCAAAATCTATGTGGCGGACCTTGGCTCCCGGAGACAGAAAATCTATAGAAGAGTAGTAGCGTGCAGGTTTCCTTAGTGATTTGACCTCATCCTATTAACCATTCCCTCGCCTATCGCTCATGAGAAACATGATTCCCTCAATCAAACCAGCTTCCATAAATACTGGAGAGGAAGAAGACAGTCTGTGCCCCCCCCCAACCAAACTTATATTTAACAGAGCTAACATGTTCCACCCATCCCTACCATAGACCTTACTGACCTAACACTCTAGGATCAAGAGACATCAGAAAACCATCAAAAGGAATTATCAAAAGACATTCCAAGCGGTATGGTTCCCCGTAGTGAACTATTTAGCAGAAGGCGGCCTAATTTCTAATAACTCATATTACCAGAATTTGTTGTTTGACTACATCTTGATTGTGTTCTTAAAAAATACCTCCTTTCTGTAATAAGTTTGAATGACAAGGCTTTGATGCACATGAGTTAAGAACATAAGAGAAGCCAATGTTGGATCAGGCCAATGGCCCATCCAGTCCAACACTCTGTCACACAGTGGCCAAAAACACCAGGTGCCATCAGGAGGTCCACCGGTGAGGCCAAGATACTAGAAGCCCTCCCACTGTTGCCCTCCCCCAAGCACCAAGAATACAGTGCATCACTTGCTGATTGTAATTGTTATCACTGAATTATTTTGTTATTGAAAAGTTATACTTGAATAAAGGTAAAGGTTCCCTTGCTTGAAAGCCAGTCGAGTCCGATTCTAGGGTTGCGGTGCTCATCTCCGTTTCAAAGCCGAAGAGCCAGCGCTGTCCGAAGACATTTCCGTGGTCATGTGGCCGGCATGACTAAACACCAAGGCGCACGGAACGCTGTTACCTTCCCACCGAAGTGGTCCCTATTTATCTACTTGCAATTTCTTGCTTTCGAACTGCTAGGTTGGCAGGAGCTGGAACTAGAGATGGGAGCTCACTCCGTCATGCAGCACCCGGGTCTCGAACTGCTGAACTACTGACCTTCCACAGACTGCAGTTCAGCGCCTTAACCACTTGAGCCACCGCAGCTCCTACTTGAATAAAACTGAAATTTAAAAAGAGAAAAAGAAAACCACCAAAAGAATTTTATTATCTACATTTCGGGGGGGGGGGGGAGAACACTGCAAAAACATGACAGGGAAGACTCCCATCTGCTCATAAGCCTTACCCTAGGGGAGCCCAAAACACCCTCTCTCTGCCCCCACTTTGGGTATTTTCCTCCTACCATTTCTTAACAAGGCAGCCGTGTCATACCTAACTGCATGCACCTCGCATTACCAGTTTCTAGCCTAGCCCCCCCCTTATATTGGCTAACCCTCTCTCGTTCTCTCTAGTTCCTTCGGTCTGTGCCACTCGCACAGGCCAAGGTGACGTGGGGCATTTCCATTGCAAAGGTGCTCCAAGTGGGGCCGGACTACCCCTTTGGAAAAGTGGTCTTGCTAAGCGGACTGCTCTCCGGGTGGCAGGGTCTCTATCCCTTTTAAGAGCTGCAGAGCAGAGCAGACACAAGCTTTCCTGTCTCCCAGAGATTGTTAGAGAGCTTGCAAATGCATTTGCATTTATCCATG